GGAAAAATCCTGTGCCTCCGCGAGTCGATCAATCAAAATATGAAACTAGAAAATATGTAAAAAATACACCCACGGCTGCATTTCATACTGCAGTTAACCGAAAATGCATCTTTTGTGATAATTTGCACGAGTCATTTAAATGCGAAGTGAATGTTTCTGATAAATTAAAGAAACTAAGATCCGAAAACCGCTGCTTTTCTTGTTTTAAAAAATTCCATACATCAAAAAGGTGCAGAAATAAAACTAAATGTAATAAATGTGGCGGTATGTATCACAATGAATCGATTTGTACTAATAAATCCCTTGTAAACAAAAAGTTGGAACAAGGTTATTCCAAAAATGAAACTGAATCTCTGACTTTGAATTCTGAGGAAAGAAATAAAGTTCAAAACTTAAAATTGATTGCTTCTGTTCCTCAAGGTGATAATAATAATGACTGTAATGCCAGGGAAATATTATTACAAACTTGTACAGTTTATGCTTGTTCTAAGTATAAATCAAAATTAACTAGATTAATTCTTGATCAAGGCAGTCACAGATCCTTTATAACGAAAAAATTGGCCGACCATTTAAAACTTACTCCAATCCGTTATGAAAGACTTTCTGTTTATTCATTTGGTGCGACGAAGGCAATGAATCATTCCTATCCGGTCGTTGAAATCGAAATTCAGAATTGGAAACAAAATAATAAAATAAAAATTGAATGTTTGATCTCGGATGTTATTTCCTCGGCGTCCATCAGTGTGCCTAGTAAACAAATTGCAGACTTCATGGAGCATATGGGGTTGCAGATCGCCGATTGCGCAAGAAAAAATAACATAGATGTTGAGATATTAATTGGGAGGGGATGAATTCTGGAATGTAGTTTATTCTGAAAGAATTAAAATATCTGAAGGGTTGTACGCAGTCAGTTCTGTGTTTGGTTGGGTTGCCGCAGGAATCGAGAAAAATAAAACAAACAAAAATTGTTCTGAAAATTTAGCGGTAATGACAAACACTGTTGTGTTGAAAGATTTAAGAGGTTTTTGGGGAATTAGAACATATGGGAATTAATGATTCTGATGATTATTCCGATATTGACTGCGAAATAGTAGACCAGTTTGAAAGAAATTTGCAGTTTAAAAACGGAAGATATGAGGCAAATTTAATCTGGAAATACAGTCCGAATAATTTAGGAAATAATTTTGAGGTAGCTAAGAAACGATTCGCAAACCTTCACAATAAACTAAGTAAAACTCCGGAGATTTTTCAGGAATATAAAAATATAATTGAGAACCAGATATTAGAAGGAATTGTGGAGGAATGTCCAAATAATGATACAAATTTGGGATATTTTATGCCTCACCGAGCAGTGATACGACCTAGTGAAACTACTAAGGTAAGAATTGTGTACGATGCTAGCTCAAGGACAGAGGACACGAATTCGTTAAATGACTGCCTTGAATCGGGACCTAATCTAAATCCAAATATACTAGACATTATGTTAAATTTTCGTAAGTTTAAGATAGCGTTTTGTGGAGACGTTGAAAAAGCCTTTTTGATGATAGGAATTGCTGAAGGTGATAGAAAATTTCTAAAATTTCTTTGGTTTAATGAAAATAATGACTCCTTTAAGATTATGCAAATGTGTCGCGTAGCTTTCGGTTTGACTATATCTCCTTTCATTTTGGCCGCCACTATAAAATATCACATTCGAAAATATAAAGATAAAATGCCGGACAGTTTCCAAATGTTAAATTCTTCTGTCTATGTCGATGACCTATATTTTGGAGCAGGAACGGTTGAAGATGCATATCGGTTATCTGTAGATGCGGTTAACATATTTAAGGATGCTGGGATGAATTTCAGAAAATTAAGAACTAATTCTAAAGCATTAAACGATTTATGGGTCTCAGATGGGATTAAGGAATCAGATAACAAATTAACTAGTGAATCGAATTTCTTAGGCATGATTTGGAATTCCATTGAAGACAATATAAAGTTAAATTTAAAAAATTTAATTGACTTTTCTACTGGAAACGATTTTGCTACAAAAAGGAAACTTTTGCAAAGCATCGCCCAAATATACGATCCATTTGGATTTATTGCACCCTTTGTTATTCGGGCAAAAATTATTATGCAAGAAATCTGGTGTTCCGGTTCTGACTGGGATGAGGTCCTTCCTGCAGAGATTAAGGACAAATTCAACATTTGGCGGGAGGAACTTAATGATTTAACTGAAATATCGATACAGAGAAATTTCTTTGATGACGATCCAATGAATATAAGCCTTCACCTATTTTCGGACGCTAGTCCTAAAGCATATGGGGCCATCGCATATTTCAGATATTGTACGAGTGATTCTAAAATTAAAACTTCCTTTATCATGTCGAAATGCAGAGTTGCACCTTTAAGAGCAATCACGCTTCCTCGTTTAGAGTTAATGGGAGCACTCGTGGCTGCTCGAATGTATAAATATTTGAAAAAATTGTTTGGTGATTTAATTGAGGATGTTTATTTTTGGAGTGATTCCGAAATCGCCATTACTTGGATTAAAGGTTCGCCAAATAATTGGAAACCATTTATCGCCAATCGTGTTACAGAAATACAGAGTATATGCAACAAAAAATTGTGGAACCATTGCGAAGGGAAAACAAAATCCTTCCGATTTACTAACTCGAGGAATTAGTGCTCAGTCACTAGTTAAGAATGATCTGTGGTGGCATGGGCCACACTGGTTACGTTTTCCTACTGAAAACTTTCCAAAACAAAAGAAATTAAAACCAAATTCAGAATCGTTGGAGTTAAGAAAAAGTATTATTTTGACTGCACCTGTAATTAACAATGAATCCCCAATTTTGCATATAGAAAAATTCAGTTCTTTAGGAAAATTACTTCGAATTACTGCCTATGTATTTAGATTTATTGGGAGGCTTCGGAAAAGGTCTACAGAGAATGGACCTTTAAGTGCTTTTGAGATTAAAGCAGCTGAACATTATTGGGTAAAAATTACGCAACGAGAATCGTATCAAGCGGAAATAATTAAGTTATCAAATAAAAAATCATCAATTCTCGATTCTTCCATCTACTCCCTTAATCCAAGGCTTGATGAGGAGGGAATTCTTCGGTTGAAAGGTCGCATTCAATTTGCAGACTGTCACGAGAATTTAAAACATCCTATTCTATTACCCTCAAAATGCAAGTTTACCGAGTTGATCATCATGGACTCGCATGAAAGGGTATTCCATGCTGGAGTTAATTCGACACTAACTCAGATCAGAGACAAATATTGGATCATTAAGGGAAGACAGCGTGTTAAGACTATCATGTGTGATATGCAAACGATATAGTGCTCGTCCTGGGGTACAGGATATCGCTCCACTTCCTCCAGACAGAATCCAAGAGTCGCCTCCATTTGCTGTGACCGGGTTGGACTTCGCCGGTCCATTTTTTACGAAAGACAGGCAAGGTAAAGTTTACATGCTGTTGTTAACGTGTGCGGTCACTCGTGCCTTACATATAGAGATAGTAACTGATCTCAGCACTGAAAGTTTTTTGCTAGCTTTCCGAAGATTTTTAGCTCGCCGAGGACTGTGTACCACCGTGTACTCCGATAATGCCAAGACTTTTAAAAGAGCTGATAAAGAACTAAAAACATATTTTTAAAACTTTGAGTGACTCATCTGTGAAAGAATTATTTTCTGCTAGAGGCATAAATTGGAAATTTATTATTGAGAGGGGTCCATGGTGGGGAGGGTTTTGGGAGCGTATGGTACGAACCATAAAATCCAGCTTTGCGAAAAATTATTGGTCGATCATCCCTTACTGTGAAAGAGCTTGAAATCGAGGCAATGATTAATTGTAGACCAATTACCTACGTGTTTACCGATCCCAATGAACCTTCTCCACTAACACCCTCTCATTTTCTGGTTGGTAGACGATTGCTATCTCTGCCTGCTAATAAAATAACATCAAATAATTTGATTGGGTCAAGAAATTCAATTATTAAACGATATAAATACCATCAAGATATTTTAAATCATTTTTGGAAGCGTTGGAGATCAGAGTATCTTTTTAATCTGAGATCTGCCAATATTTGTCCTCCACACTCTAACGCATCTCAGTTTAAAATCAACGATATTGTCTTGATTCATGACGACAAACATCCCAGAAATCTTTGGACAATAGGTAAAATTTTGGAATTAATGCCAGGCAGAGATGGTAAAATAAGATCTTGCATAATTAAAACACCTACTGGTACCTTAAAAAGGCCTATACAATTGTTATATAATATGGAACTTAACTAATGTTTGTATTTTGTATTTTTAGGTTTGATTCTCCTGACCTTGCTGATAGGTATCATTTAATGTTTTGTAAAATTTTATGTGCTTATAATTATGTATGCATGTTTGTTATATTTAAACCATTTCTCCAGGATTTATTGTCGAAATATTAATTGAATATTCTAGAATATATTATTGAAAGATGAACTCTCCACCGAGTTCAGGTGGGGAGTGTTGTGTAATTTGAAGAAAAAGGCTAGAGGGCGCTGTTGCTCGCTTAGTTGTGAGAATAAAGTTCGTTCATGTTGAAGGCGGCGGCCTAAGAATACGCTCTGTATATAGTAATTAAAATATTGTTTAAAATGTAAAAGTGTTAAAATTAGTAAACCCACTGAACCACCATTATCTGACTTGGAGATGCACATAATTATTAGATTAGCTGTTAATTTAGCGTGGTTCGGAGTATTGTTAGCTCCGTGTTAGCTTCGCTCTTCAGGTGCACTTTGCATTGAGTTGTTTTAATGTCCTTAGTAGTTTGAAGTGAGCTACTGATTGTATTCTGTGATACTGTGAGGAGCTGTACGAATATTTTTGAAGAAAATTGCAAAACTGCGAAGTGTTTCTTTTGGTAAGATAAATTTTATCAATCCATTATGAACCCATACGCACGGAACAATATATAGATATATATATATCATCAAAGTAAAATGAAAAAGCTTTTGAAAATTGATTACTTACAAAATATGGACACATTGAAAGTTTGGAAGACGTTTTCGTGCTCTGGTGCGCCGTGAGCAATGCAGGTAAATGCTTTCACATCTTTGTCCTAAAAGGAAATGGAACACATTAAAATTTAATGTTGCATGCTTATTTCAAATATTTATACAGCTTTAATGTATTGTGGTAATTAATATTTATAGTTTTCTCTATTAACATTTTTTGATAACAGAACAGAACATTTAAGTAACCCTTCTTTAAATGCGAAGTTCCTCATCAAATTATGTTCTATTGACTTTTAGGTGATGTAGTCCTACCTTCGCTGAGCTTTTAAACTCATGAATTTTAAAACTGATAAATTTCTGCTTTTGTATAACTTTCATCGTAAAAACAATTCTGTTGCGAAAATTATTAGAAAATAATTAGGATGAAATATAATCGCATACAACAAACATTCTAGTTTTAGATCGTTGAGATAGTGACATTCATTTTCAGTTTTCTGGATGCAGGATTTGTCTCTTACCATCCGGCAACACTCATTTAACTAGTTTCGGTACATGTACAGTAATCGTCCCTTTGTGCAGAATTCAGTTTGGACTACCATATTTCACCAATAACATTTCAGGAATACATTCAGAGTGTGACATGCATTTCGTTATTTCAGACTTATCTACTAACTTTTGTGCCTATGCTTGTTATTGTTTGAAGAACATACATCTTGTCGTGAGCTACCATACAGTGCTGAAATTATTGAACATATGATAAACATCCTAACAACCTTTCTTCTGATGATGAATGAAATAATTATTAATTTTCTTTTAACTTTGCCTGATTTTAGTCAAGAGTTTAGAATATATTGCACGACCTATTTACATCAACAGCACTATGTATTCAAGAAACGTCTGACAAATTCCTTCCTTAAACTTCAACTCCGTTAAAACGGGCAGGTCATTTTATGCATTTTGGTCTTCAGCTCTATAAGTTCAATGCCAAACTTCTACACTTTTATTTTCGGATAACAATTTTTTCGAAATAAATATCGGAGTAAATCGGTTGTAATACTATTGATATAAATTTGTTTAAATCTCATCAATGGTACTGCATTTATTTTGGGGAACACTGGATACTGTGTATCTTGCTGATTTAAAAAACGTGTCCGTGTATTGGTCCGGTGCATTGATTTTCGGTGGGCCTGATCAATATGCGCTAAAATTTACTTTTAATCACGACAGAATGAATGATGGTGAGTTTAATACTATAATGGCAAAGTCCTTACTTCTTATTAATTGTGAAAATTAGTAAGAGCTACAGACAAAAGACCTTCCAAGTACTTCTGGGCAACTTCAGTTACCACATGGGTGCATCACATCAGATACCCAGCTCGACTCAGAGCGAAAACTTTTTTTTCACCTAACTTTCGCGTTCTAAAACTTTCTGTTTATTCATATCTGGGCTCAGACTGAAAGCGAGGACACGGAATTCGCCACCAAATTAGGTTTGATAAATTGGGGAGCGTATGTCCTTCGCAATTTAGGTGAACGTGTGAGGACTTAAGGAACTAAAGTAATACATCTCATCTACTGCTTTGATACCTGACTCAGCAAATTTCATGCAAAGAGGTAGTAATGCTTCGGCAGTTTGAACTTTTCGTATTCGATTCTGAACGGGTATGCAGATAAGTCTTAGAAGATTTTCCGTTTCTAAGCTCTTCATAGTCTCTGCGATACAATATACGAAATATATAAAAGAAACACTTATGAATTTCTTCTGAATAACTGCATATTTACCTGGTGAATATTACTTATACATTTCCCTGTTAAGTAGTATTGTACTCAAAACGCAAGCTATTTTCACTGGTTTTCTTAACATTTTAGGTAACCAACCCAGTGAAAGTAGAAAGTTTCTCAGACCTTCTCAGTACTTTGCAATATTCCCAAAGATATGTAAGGTGACTCAGAATGATTCATTCTATTTCAAATAACTGTATGTTTGAAACTTTCGAATGCCTAGCAATTAAAAGTGCAATAAAAATTCAAACTATGTTTCTCACCTTATAAATGTGAGACTTAATTATGCGAACAATCAGATGGTATATCAATTTCCCCCGTACGTGCTGTAGGAAAATTTTAGATACTGACTTTGCAAAAATATAAAAACAGGTTTGAGCTTAGCAGTCTTAAATGTTACCACAATGTGTATTTCAATGCTATACTGAAATCCAAGCCGAGCTCAAAACCACTTTGTGTCTGTAATGACAAAGGCTGAAGCGCCAATGAAATCCGTATGCTAAAAATTACAATCATTTGAAATCGAAACAGGCTTTAGCAAATGTAATATATATTGTTATATACTTCTGCATGTAACAGTATTAGTTAAGTAATGGTTCATAATATATGCATCTGTTCTGTACTGAATTTGTGTTGCATTCATATTTAATAGTATTTGTATTTCTTATGTGCTGATTTATATAGATTGCATTGTTACATACTGAATTAGTAATGCATTTGTCGTGCCCTGCCCTTATCCTCATATTATTTTATTCATTTTTATAATGTGCTGATTCATCCTGATTGCATATATTATGCACTGACTTGTATTGTCTGTTATATACTGATTGTATATATTTTCTATTCACAGTATTTGTATGTGCTGAATTCTATGATCACATTGTTATATACTGTATTTGTACTGCTTTATAGTGTACTACCCTTATCTTTCTATTTATATTATTCATACTAGATATGTGTGATTTGTCTTGGTTTCATTTATACATACTGAATTGTATTACCTCTCATATACTAAATTTGTATCGCATCTGCGCTGAATTTACATTACTGTTATATATTGCATTTATATGAGCTCATCTGATTAGATTATTATGCACTGATTTGTATCACTTATTATATTTGTATTACTTGTTCTATACTGAATTTATAATGCATTTGTATTTATTTATTCGTATTTGTTCTGTGCTGTTTTATCTTGATTGCATTTCTACAGCATTGAATTGATTTACCTGTTATCTATTGAATATTGTCATTTGTAGTGTACTATTTATATTTATATTATTCGTATTGGTAAGTGCTGATCCATTCTGATTCTATTTATTACGCATTGACTTACCTGATTTATACTGACCTTTTATATATTTATTTTTATTTATTTATTTATTGTATTGTACGGTTATGTGCTGATTAATATTAACTGCATTGTCATATACTGATGTTCTATACTGAATGGTAACGCATTTATAGTGTACTGCCCTTATACTTACTCATATTTCTATTACTCACATGCACTCATATCTTTGATTTGTATTTTTATAACCATGCCATACTTATCCTCCCTAATGTACTCGGCCTATTTAATATTTAATTTCGATTCAGATTTGTATTATTGTGATGTCATTAACAAGTAATAGGCCTATTCTGTCTTATCGTGATGCCCTTAACTTATAACACGCCTTCTGTGTTCTGTACTCATTTTCCTGTAACTTGCTTTATCCTGTAATCTTGTAATCTTTACCTCTTATTGTTAAATTTGTACAATCCTTGATATATTATTAATGTACTTAATTGTATCCCTCTATGCCCTTGTTTGGCCATGTAAATATTTCTTTTATAAATCTGACGTCTGGGCGATGGGGTGTGGGTCCCCTATGGGCCTTTGGTTCGTTGAACTGCCCTGGGTGGATCCGGCGTTGGGCTTGGTCTCTCTGTGCGCGGCTCACGTGTGGCCTCTTTGGCTGCTCTAGATCTTGGGGGGCGCGGTGCTGAACTGATTCACCCTATGGTAAAAGGTACAGTGCTCGCGTCTTCCGTCAATGGAATGGAATGGAATGCATGTAACAGTGTGTTTTCTGAAAAATCACATGAAGTCTATATACGGAAATACATGCCTCATGTAATATTTTAGAAAATTATTTATATGTTGAATCATAAAGATGATAGCAACCATCGAGGTCAGTGGTTGTATTTTCTGACCTCGATGACCTATTATCTTTATGAATGAACATATAAATAGTTTTCTAAAACATCATATGAGGCACACAAAAAGTTTTTGCTGATAGCACAGATAAATTTTCGCTGTGCTTTCCCGTTCTTGAAGAATTGCATCTGTACTTTTTAGAATTTTAGAGTATATTGAAAGAAAAAGCAACAGTAGCAAACAGCAAGCTTGCAAGCGAGAGAGGAGGACAGAGGAATGTGTCGCATCTGGGACGAAAACGCAGTTCAGAAAGAATCATTTTTGTACACCTTCATTTTGATTGATTATTCGCATTTCTATTCTCAAAATTTTAAATTATTATTGGCTGAAGCATTATGTAAAATCACATGACATGGATTAATTTTGAAATGACGCAATTTAGAAAAATAAGATTTATTATGAAAGGTTTTTATTTTTAGAACAGAAAGTGGATATAACTAAATCCAAAAAGAGAGTTAAGGAGCCACTGCAAATTAAATTTAATATTTCTTATCTTACATATGTATTTATATATTATACACGTTGTAGAGCCATTACGTTATATTTAAAGTAGGAATGTTGAAAAATGAGCAACGCATTCACCGGGAATCGAACCACGGAACGTACCCAGCGTGTTGACCACCACACTACGAAGGCATGCCAAGAAAGTGGCTGAAATACTTAATATACTGTCCCTTTTTAAAGGGTGACTGCGGTTTTAGGGAACACTATAGCCAAATCCTGGGTGTGGAGAATCATCATCCACCACCCTTTTAGTTCGGTCGCCACTGTAGAGTCATGAGGTTATATTTAAAGCAGGAAAGATTAAAAATGAGCAACGCCTTCCCCGGGAATCGAAACACGGACCTCTGGAATACGCGCCCAGTGTGTCGACCACTATACTACGAAGGCATGCTTAGAAGGCGGGAGAAATACCTTATAACGTTCATAAAGGCAAAGTGTTTTGAAAAATAAAGCTTAAAGGATTTCAAGTTTAAATAATAAATAATGAGCGTCATGCAATAAATGGGAGCATAAAGGTGCAGATTGCGCATAAAGTATACATTGCATCGATATGCTTCAGAAACATGCATTTACGAATAGCAAAAACGTTATAACACTGTCATATCGATAGAAAGAGGA